AGACAACATAGGGAAAAACTGCCCCAGTTCTTTGAAAGATCCTGAGTTATAGGGGAAAATTTTATATAATCCTATCTAGAAAGCACGCTTAGGAATCAGATAAATCTATAACCACAAGCATTTTTACTTTGGTAATCAATGCAAAAAAATTATCAACTTCTGTGTTTATAGGACATATGGAATCTGGTCACATTCTCTTCAAGGATACTTTCTTAATATCAGAGAAAGCTAACATCTTTATAGTAGTAAGGCGACTGTGTAACTTATCCAAGCCAGAGTGCTTTTGAAAGTGAAAGGAGATGCTGTTGATAATTGTCTGGGATAAAAGATATTAACCAGAAAATAGGGTATGTGGTCCTATAACTTTAGAGTAAAAATAAATTGGTAATCAAGATGGTAAACTTAATGATGTGTTTTTAACACAAAAAACACAAACACAATTGGCAAGTATTTCTTCTTATAAAACAAAAATCTGTATTTTCCCCCTAAAGTAAGGAATATTCTCTTAACTTTTGGAGTCTCGAAAAGTGAGCATCCAAATTCGATGGAATGCTTTTTTAGACTGGGAATTTATCCAGTACCACGTGAAGCCTTGTAACTTGAGCTCCTGAGAGTTACACATGGCAAGATAAGAGGTCTAACGTCGGTATTCCCATTCCAGTGAGCATATATATTTAGAATAAACTTTAAAAGGGCTGAAATCTCACTAAATTAACAGAAATGTCATGGAAGAAATAACATACACTATTTCTTCTGATCTTCGAAAGTCACTCATGCTTAATTCTCACAGCTGTGACAGAGAATCCTTGGATCTTATTCTGCAAAATACACTACAAGAGAATTCTATTAGTGGGAAATGGCATTTAGAGGACTCCTAAAATAAGAGAGAATTAATTTGTAAAGTGATCCTAAAAGGTACTCCAGTCTTTTTCATGCACATGAAATAATTTCTTCCACATTAGGGCATGGGAGTAAATCACTCTAGGGAATCATAGCAACATCCAAGAACTCCACGAATCTTAACAGCGCCACCAGGGAGCACTACAGGCCAAAAAGGAGCAAAGTTATCTACCCAGGACGGGTGAGCCCGCATTACCAACCATCCTTACGTCTGCCTCCCTGTGGACAAATCCCAGTCCTCGCATGCACTCCACCTGTTTCCCCAGCCATGGCCTTGTGCCTAATGGCTTACTCTGGCTTTTCTGAGAATTTTCCCCCCTGAATGCCTGCCATCCTCCCTGGGCACCAACCCTCCCATCTCCCCTCCCTGTCTCCCTCATGGTCCCCTTCTTTCTTCCCTGCACACAGTGCCAGCCCTACCTACGCCTTTTCCTGCTTCCACATACTTCCTACTCAAGTCTCCGTGCGCTCTGCCCCTTCCAACACAAACATATTTATGAAAATATTGTAAATCAATTATCCCCAAAATAAAACACTTTCTATAAAGCCTGTTTATAGTAATAGAGATAGGAACTATAATTTAAGGTTGCTTCAAATTAATTCATCATCCAACATTAAATACCTCCCAACATAAAAAGAAAAAAAAAAGAAAAAAAGACCTTCAGAAAAAAGGTGAAATGAAGCCCGAGGACTCAGGCCAGCTAATTTCTCAGCGATCCCAAATGGATCCCTGTAAATCCATTTCTGCCCCGATGGTCAAAGCTGTGTTTTTTCTTACTTATTCTATACTTCACATCCATGCATTTCTACTTTATCACTTTCATATATTTGCCCTAAACTATTGTTTTCTAGGCCAATGTCAAATCCTTTCATCTTTCAGTCCCATTGATTCAAATATTTTTGCAGCTTTAATGAGATAACTCAAGTAGCATTCAATTCACTCAAAGTGTGCAATGCAATGACTTAGTATGTTCGGAGTTGTATAACCATCACCACAATGAATTTTAGAACGTTTCCACTAGTCCCCAGTAAGAAACCCTGTACCTATCAGCAGTCACTGCTCACTCCATGCCCTCCCCCACCTCCCCCCCAGCCTAGGAAACAACTGACTTTCCGTGTCCACAGATTTGCCCATTCTGGACATTTCCCATAACTCTACAACATACAATCCTTGTAACTTGTTTCTTCCATTGTAACGATTTCAAGGTTCATCCATGTTATAGCACACATCGCTACTTCATTCTTTTTTATTGCTGAAGACCATTCCATTGTATGGCTATACCCCATTGAATTCATCCAATCACCAGCTGATGGGCATTTGAGTTGCTTCCACATTTTGACCACCATGAATAATACTGCTATGAACGTTTGTATAAAAGTTTTTGTGTGGATATGTTTTAAATGTTCTAAGGTATTGCTCTGAGATGAACTGTTATATCTACCCCTCACCTCCCAAGAAAAACATGTTGCAGTCCTAAGCTCCCGTACCTCAGAAAGTGACCTTATTTGGAAAGAGCGGTTTTTTATAGAGATAACCAAGTTAAAATGAGGTCATTGGGGTGGGCACTTGTCCAATGTTACTGATGTCCTTATAAAAAGGGGAAATTCAGACAAGAAACAGAGATTCCCTCAGGGAGAGTGCCAAGTGAAGACAGAGGGCTATAGTGATGCACCTATGAACCGAGGAACCAGAGATTTCCAGCAAACACCAGAAGCTACCAGAGGAAAGAGCATGACCTTTCCAACATCCTTATTTAGAACTTGTAGCACCCCAAAGTGTGCGAAAGTTAATATCTCGGTTTTTTTTTTTTAACTCATCCAGTTTTTGGTTTTTTGTTACAGAAGCACTGAGAAACTAAAACTGATATAGAGCTAGGAGTGGAATTGCTGGATCATATGGTAACTCTATATTTATCCACTGAGGAACTGCCAGATTGTTTTCCATTTGATTGTTTCTCAATAAGTTATTAACAGTTTCAAAACCTCTCTCAAATACAGAAAGTAAACTTTTCTACGCGTAACCTTGCCTTCCACAGGTAATTCTCCCTCCATCCCCATCATGGTGAGTCTTCTTTTTTTAAACCCTCACTTGAAGATTTTTTATTATTATTATTGACTTTAATGAGAGAGGAAGGGAGAGAGAGAGAGAGACAGAGAAACATCAATGTGAGAGAGAAACATCAACCGGTCGCCTCCCAACCGGGAAGTGAACCCGTAACCCTTTGGCGTATGGAACAATGTTCCAACCAACTGAGCCACCTGGCCAGGCCGGCCACTGTCTTCTTTACCATTTGTTAAACCCTCAAATATTTCCTTCAAAAAAGAACAGTAGCAAATAGTTAAATCATCACTGCACTAATATGAGGGGGCACTAGACTGAGCTATATAGTTGGAGCTACAGAATAATCTTAAAAACCTAAAGATAGGAGAGTAAATGGTAATAAATGGCAGGAGAATGTTTTTAAAAGGAAACTTTCATAGTGAAGAGATGGAAGCAAAGAGGATCCTGAAGGAGATGACTCCTTCTTTAGGGAAGGTGTCTGGCCACAAAGAGAGCAAGTTCCACCTCTGAAAATAGAAACTGGCATGTAAGAAAAAGTATATCTTCTGGAAGAAACTTTAAAATTCTGAATTTGAGTCTGTTGTCCTAAGAGGAGGCTCAACTCTTCTTCAAACAACAGAGTACTGTAGTCCAATAATGATTAAGTTATAAAGCACTTAATCAAATATCTGACTATTCTGAACAAAGAAGAATAGAACCCTTTATATAGTTGAGTAAATAAGATATATACACACATACACAAACAAATCAAGCGCCATGTCTAGCCAATAAAGTTTTTAATTGCCAATAAAGCCTGTAGATCTTAGAGTTCTCCACAACTAATGGACGCAGGTATACGAGTAATGATTTGGCTGTTGGCCATGTTATAAAAATTAGGGGTAAAAAAACACATGCTAAAAAGTTTACGGTAAAATCTCATAAAGATCACTTTATTTTGTTACCAATAACCTATGTTCACTGATTCATATACAAGGTTAACACTTTCGTTTTTCACAGCCCTGTATAGAAGAGTAAAGCAGAATGGAAAAGGAACGTTCAAGAAGGGCATTCTAACATCAGTGAGTTAACCGTTGACAGCGACGATGGGCGGGAAAACACCAGACAGAGCAGACACTCACAGGGCACCACTGGCTGGGATTGTTTAATGAAGGGAGAAAAGGGGATGAGAAATGCCCTGAAAATGTCACAGTGTAATTACTGATGCCCAAAACTGGTGAGTTCAAGTCCTCAAAAGGGTTCATTTAGTTCATGTTACTGGAGAGACAGGTAACAATATGGTACATTTTACAAGACATTTAGAATACAACATCAAGTACTACTGAGGCTACTGATTATCTCAAATAAGCCATTTTTTATTTTCCTTAACCCACCCCACCCCCAACTTTCTCCCAAAGACGAAGCCAGGGTCTGGAAAGAGAATGCTAGAACAAAAGAATTGTTCAAGAAACCTAGGTCTGAAAACACAAGCAACAATTGTTTAAGGTTGGAAGGACGTGAGCAAAACTGAAGTCTAGATCATTTTACTTATCTTGAAAGACTCAGAAGAGATTAGTTTACTTTCAGTAACATTTCTACAGACATTTCTTCCCTCCCTAGCCTCCTTTTATCTAACTACAACAAAGCTACACAGTCATTTCGTTTAGGCTTCTAAAAATGGAGAACCCCAAGCTGCAGTATCAACATCACCTTTGAAAACTTCTTAGAAATGCAAATTCTCAGGCTGGAACCCCAGACCTCCATTTTCAGAAGCTCCCAGGGCAAGGCCAGCAATCTGTGGTAGACCACGCTCTCTCTCCGGGAGATTCTGATGCTTACTAAACTTTGAGAACCACTGCTCCAGATAACATGAATAGACAAGGCAGGGAATTATTGATTTATAGAGCAAAATGGTTCTTAAAAGACTGAAGTGACAAAAGAGAATAGGGAAGGAAAGTCTATTATGTGGACTGTGCATTATTAGCTTAGAAACCATGTCCTTTCTAGATCATGGCCCAACTATAACATTAGCAACCTCTAATAAGTAGCATAAAGACGGTACCTTCCAGATGTTTGAGGAGTGCCCTACTGCTATTTCCATGAGCAGATATCAGAATGCTTTTGCCACTTAACACTTCAGGAGCAATCCTTTCATTCCAAAAGGGAAGGAGTCTCTCCAGAACATCCTTTAAACTTTCAGACCGTGGCAGCTGATCCATAGGTACGTCGCACACTTTGTACCTCCGGTCATTGTAGATTTCGTGGTAGTAAGGATGAGACTCTTCAATGGGCGGAGGGGTCACATTGTAGCTTCTCCTCCAGATCCTCACTTGCTCTTCGCCATGATTCAAAGCCATTTTCTCCCTATTGAGACCGATCAAGGCTCCATAGTGACGCTCGTTCAGACGCCAGGAGCTTTCCACAGGAACCCACTCCTGCCCCAGCTCCTCCAGGATCAGCCAGGCTGTGTGGATGGACCGGTTAAGGACGGATGTGAACACCAGATCAAACTCAAAGTTCAGCGCTTTGAGTTGCTTCCCACAGTTCCGAGCTTCCTCCATTCCTTCATTATTAAGTTTCTGGTCCACCCAGCTACAAAAGCGATTCTCTTTGTTCCAAGCACCCTCTCCATGTCTTAACATAATCAGTTTGTACTTGGACATACTGATGGATGAGCTTCCCTCGCGCCTTCAAAGGGGCCAATGTTCAATGACAGATATGCATCTAGAAAGAGAAGAAACAAATAGCATACATTATATTCTTCAGTGAGCTGACTATCTGGGAAAGAAAACACAATGTTACAACAGCCAGTTTCTAAAATAAACTAGGATAATATGGTTTTGAAATCAGACATCCGGCAACTCATACACTGTGGCACATACAGCATATTCTACAGATAATTAATTATAGGGAACCTAGTTGACTTAAAATCTTTTGATGGCTGGACAGTATGTTAATTGTATGATGTACAATAACCAGGACACTTCATTCTAATGGCATGCCGCATTTCTGCCAGATCAAAGGAGTTTGTTTACAGAAGAGTGGATTTAACAGAACGGGTTGTAGATGTCTACAAAGATGACTAGTTGCTGACTCTAGATTGAAGGCATCCTTCCCACTTTGTTTTTCCTCTGGTGGAAGAAGAATATTTATCGGTTTCACTTTATTACAGAAGTTATTAAACATGTTAATTCAGTGGCCCACCACATTTACCGGGTGTGTAAACCACTGACTGGCGGCAACGAGCTCTTCAATGCCACAGACCACACCACGTACAAGAAAACCTAAGGTTCAACATTCAAACAACATTAAAAGTGATTTAAAGCAACGTTAACACCTAACATGGTACTCACCTAACTAATCTCTCACCTGCCTCAAGATAGAGCTTTAGGCAGGAATAAATCCGGATGCAAACAAGCTATCAAAAGCAAGCAGCTGAGAAACGCAGCCTGTGGAAACAGATTACCAGGAGCAGGTCTGTAGGAGTGAGAGGAAGCTTGGTGATAAGGAGGCCTTGTCTCCTCCTCCCAACCCTTCAGTCATCCTACACACACCAGCCATGCTCAGGGGGAGAAGAATCTAATAGAGTAGAACAGACAAAGAGTTTTGAACTTGCTAAATTAAGCTGCTGACCCAAAGATCTGCTGGGCCCACTTTGTCCCCCTAGAGAATCCGCTGTCTGGTTTGCATCAGCCTGCCTTCATTCGCCTTGCAGCGGACACATCTCCACTGACGAATGCTGTTTGGTTTACATGTCCCTTCCGCCCCGGTGTTTTCCATACCAGGGAATAAAGATCCTACGAACACTGGGGCCTGGCCTTCTGCCGTTCTGGGCAACTTCCACTAACTGGAGATTTTCGGTCCCACTTAAACAGTGATTCAGCCACAGTTATATAACCATCAGTGACAAAGTTAGTTGGAATCTCAGATCTAGTTTCTTCCTTTCTTTACTAATACCTAGAGATTCTGAAGGTGGGAAAGGCTTTACGATGAGGCTTCTGTGGAAGGCAGCAGCTGGAAGCCTCCAGCAGTTAGGTGTATGATTTCCCTTTCTCGTCAAGCACCGCGCTTGAAGCTTCAGTGCACGTGGAGCAGGGGGAAAGCATGAGGTCACCGGAGGCGCCTGAGCTCGGGGCTCGGATGAAGGCACCTCGCCGAGAATTTCCAGAGGGAGAGTGATGCCTCTGCCCTCAGACCAGAGGCACCGGGGTGTCAGGAGAACAGAAAAAGGAATGAAGGCCTCTGAGCAGTGTTTGGCTAGGTGATTGCTGGTGCCCAGAAGCAGAATAATCAGAAGCTGATGAAGCTCAAGCTTCAGGTGCCCTCACTGGACCAAACTCCTTCTAAGGCACTGGGAGACCAAATAATGAATTCACATGTATGAGTGTGTGTGTATAACTTACAAAAAAAAGAAAAAGGTATTTTTGGATCATTTCTTTAAAGGGCTCTAATCCACCAAGTTGTAGAAGCTTCAGGGTGATCAGAAACTGGATCCATCCCCTTAACATTTATTTATTGTCTGGTTTTTTGGTGGTGGGGGTGGAGGGGGATGGAGAAAAGAGAAGTTATCAACTATTCCTCAGCCTCAATCCTTACTTTGTCTTGTCAAGCAAGAAGCCCCCTTATACTAAGGGGCTATTTTTCCTTCACATGAAGAGGGGTATTATGGACACATTCTGTGGGCAGAAGCAGTTCTCCCTCATCTTTTGGTTATGAACTCTATCAAAGGGACAAAAAAAAAACTGCAGCTGTAACATCAGGGACACTCAGGCACCTACCACCAGGCTTTGCAGTATTTTAATCTGCTGCATTAAAGGAATAAAACACTTTGTTTTTTTCCGACTCAAAATATGTACGAGGTATGTCTGGAAGAAGTCCAGCCATTTTTAATATAACAAAAACAGTTTTGCGTGACATCAATGTTACCTGACAGCCAAGGGGAGAGGACTAGAATGCACAAGTGTAAACAATGACAAATTCACTCTATTAGTCAGTGAGGGCAGTAGATGCCATTGAGTAAGCATGTGTACTGTGTGTCCATTGCATTAAAAATGTAGAGCAACCAATCTGCATCAAATTTTGCATTAAGCTTGACCATTCCTCTGCAGAAACTATTCGGATGATTCAGAAGGCCGCAGCTATGGGCAAATGGTGATTGGCAGCTTCATCACGACAACATTCCTGTTCATGCATTATGTTTTGGACAGAGTTTTTTGGCAAAACATCAAATCACCCAGGGAACTCGGCCCCCCTACGGCCCATATTTGGCATGCTACAACTTCTGAGTCTTCCCAAAACTAAAATCACCTTTGAAAGGGAAGAGATTTCAAGCCATTGACGAGACGCAGGAAAATACAATGGGGCAGCTGATGGTGACTGGGAGAACTGTGTGAGGTCCCCAGGTGCCTACTTTGAAGCGGACTCAGACATCATTGTCCTATGTACAATGTTTCTTGTACCTTGTATTTTCTTCAATAAATGTCTCTATTTTTCATATCACATGGGTGGATACCTTCTGGATAGACCTCATATACTGGAGCAGAGAAACAGTACTACAGCCATAATGACTATATGAATACATACCCTTCCCACACTCTGGTGTAGAGGGTGTGAGTATAGAGCAAGGTCCGAAGCTAGTGCATCTATCTCAGGTAAACAAAAAGCCACTTCCCTCTGCCCTACTTGCTGCTATCAACTGACTTTTCCCATTTTAACTATCTGATAAGTATTTACAAAGGAGCTGTTGAGCTTTAAAGTTGGCAAGCTTTAAGATTTTAATCATAATGGTAGCTAGCACACCAAGTGTTCACGAACAGACATACAACACTAGTCAAGTTTCACTTGAAGTTTAAGGCACGGCCAACAAGTTCACACGTCCCCATGGCCAGACAGACGCGTGAAGGGCAGGGATGCAGGGCGACAGGAACACTGGAGCTGCAGGGAGCACACGTGCTTCACCAATGGACTCCGCTCTTGGATAACTTGGCAAAGCTTTAGTATAACCTGCTCTCACCGAACTAGGGGTACCATTCTTAGAACTTTTCTGAAGAACTAAAAGGTGGGACCGCTGAAACCAAAAACTGGAGCGAATGCAAGACTTAGAGGCAGACTACAGAGAATCTATGGATTCCAGTTGTTTTTAGCATAAATAAATGCTTTAAAAAAAAAAAGTGATCATTTTAGCTCCTTCTGAAGAAGTGAGGTTCCTAGATCTTCTAATTGTCAAAAACACTGGAAATGTGCATTTGTATGTGATATCTGATGTCATTACTGGCGACTCATTCTTAAATGTGAGCTCAATAAAACATGTCCGCAGGCTAGACTGGGTCTGCTAGTGTATGACCTGTGACTTAAAGGGAAATGTCCCCCAGGCCACAGATAAATGAGGGGACTCCAGGGGACAGTCAGACCCCAAGCCTCTGGGCTGTAATCCAAGCTTTCCTCTGTTATTGTCCAACACACTCTTTCAAAGGACAAACCTCTAATCCCCCTGTGTGCTGGGCTTCCTTGTTTCTGACCCCGCAGAGTCCCAGCTCTGTAATCAAACTCCCACTCAACTTTGGACTCTTCCTGGAATGCTTCCTCCAGCTCTGAGCTGTAACCAAGCCGAAAATGAACTGAATGCAAACTACCTCCCAGTCATCTGCTTCTCTCTTCAGTGGGTGGGTGGAGTGGGGGGTGTTTGTGCCTCATATCCTGGGGCAGGAACAAGGGCAGGCAGGGTCCTGCTCCCTCTCGATGGTGCTTCCCAACCAAATGCCTCCACCTACCATCTTTCTTTTTTTGGGGGGTGGGGCGGAACTTTGATTATGAGAGTTTTTTAATATTCAACGGTAGCTTTCTTGCCCTCATTTATTAACTGCAAACTTCCTGAAAACTGAGCACCGCATTTAAAACCTCAATTACTTCCTGTTGATCTGAGGATAGAGTTCAAAATCATTCATGTGACCTGCAAGGCTTTGGTTGCACTTCCTTGAGAATGCCCTGTTCTGTCTTGCCTCAGGACCTCTGCACACAGCATGTCCTACCAAGAACCCTTGTCCAGCCCATCACTGCCTCCCCTCTACTTTCACTTCGGTCCCATGATGCTTTAGGTAACGTCGTCATCCCTTAGGTCAGCTGTGTCCAGTCAAAATGCCGGGTTCCAGCAGAAGTAACAACTGCTTGTGTGTAGTTGGTAGGGTACGTGAATGTCTCCCATGAGACGGACAGCAATTTGAACACCCCCTAAAATGCCGTATGGTGTGCTTAAGTGTGATATTGTTATGTTACAGAATCACATGCTTATGATTTTGTAATAAAATATTTTGGAATAAAAAAGGGGTGTTATTGGTACCAGACCCGGTATAATGCAAGTCACATATGTTCTAAAGCCATATTAAAAGGTAAAAAGAAATAGGTAAAATTAATTTTAACACTGTATTTTATTTAACCCTATGGGTTCGAAAATTATCATCCCAAGATATGATCCATATATAAAATTCTTTATGAGGTATTTCACATTCTTTTCATAGTAAGTCTTTGAAGCCTGGTGTGTATTTCATACTACAGCACATCTCAGCTTGGACTAGTGGCACTTCAAGGGCTCGATAGCCACACATGACCAGTGGTTGCTGTACTGAATGGTGCACTTTAGAGCTTAACTATAAGTTCGACCACAAGCTGCTTCAGAGTTGGTCTGACTTCTTGCCATATCCCTGGCAAGTGGCATACAAGGACCTGGC